TTCGGTTTATGAAATATAAAAACCAAATGAAAATTGAATACCATTTGGGTACAATTTCGGTTTGATTCGGTTATACATTTGGTTTCCAATCGATTTCTATAAATAATCAGTTTTTTCACCTTCAGTTTGGTTTGATTTCAGTTTGACTTGTCACAAATCAACCAAATCAAACTACTAGGTTTCCAAATCCGATTGTCCGCCCGATTTCGGTTTGATTCGAATCAATTAAACCGGATTGGACCGTATAGCAGAATTTGGGCGGGTCCACCCTTAAGACTATTGATTGACCAAACACCCTTGATTTCTCCTGAAATTACATCATCTGCCACTGAACCACACCGGTAAATGAACCCGCTCCGGCGACTATGACCGGCATTTTGATTTTCTATTTCCCTCCCGAGAAACAAAATTGGGTAATTTCGTGATTTTTCCTAGTCGCAATGTTGCACGAGCTTCTTCTTGCTCTCTTAGGTTTCACCGGAGATCTAATCGTCGACGAGCGAGAGCAACGGAAAAATCTAGGTCTCGTTTTCCACTCCGATTCACCTCTCTCAGATGAATGTACCTTCAAACTCGCTCCCGATATCTCCTTTATCGAACCCAGCGAAAGGTAATCTCTCTGTTCGCGCTTTCTCTCTTCTCCGTGTTCTTCATGATCTGTAATTGAGATTTCTTATGTGCAGGGACCTGATCGAGAGGTTGATCAAGCTAGGGTTCTACTATAGGGAGCTTGACCGGTTTGCGAAGAAGTCCCGGAATTTGAGCTGGATTAGGTCTGTAACCAGCGTGCATCCGTTGGATCGGGCTGATGAATTGTCGAAGCAGAGTGGAGAGAAGAAGCCTAGCGTGTACCGTAGAGCCATTGCTAATGGAATTGGGGAGATTCTTGCGGTTTACAGGTCTGCAGTTCTTCACATTGAGCAGAAGCTATTGGCGGAAACTACGCCTATTCTGGCTACGGTTACGCAAGGGCTCAATAAGGTCCATTCCCAAGTCCATTTTACCAACACATTTATCACTTTATGACTGAGCTTAGGATTACCATATGAGTATGTGTTTATTGAAATCCAA